TCACTTCTTTTGGTTAAGGCGTTGTCTCCAGAAGGCCACTGTGAAAGGCATGTTACCTAAAAGGGTAGGGAGAGTCCATTAACATTATTTCTATGATTAAACACACCATATTTGCAATGATCTTGGGACTCACACAGCACAAAGGCTTTTAAAAAATTCTTCAGGAGATAATGTTTGATGGAGCAGGTAGGTAGAGCGTGAGGTGGGGGGAATGATTCATACACAGAACAGGATGACATCAACTTAGGTACAAAGGACATGTGGCCAAATGAAAATCACAACATAAACATATAAGGGTCACGGTAAGGATGATTCCCGTAATGGGGAATTCTCTAGGGACAGGAAAAGAAAAAGCACTCCAAGGATCTGACCACAGCCAGTTCTGAAAAAAAGCAAAAAGAGTTGAGGGGACAGCAGTTTTACATGGAAGTGCACTACTAGACTAGAGGCAGACAGGGGCAGGAATAGCAGGGTTAACTACTCCTTGAGGTGAGGATAGTTTCCAACCTAACAGTTTTAGCTGAGGGCTAACCTCCCAATCAGAGAATGCTACAAATCAATGCTGTGAAACCCTTTACTAATTCATATTGTCTCAAAGCCAGTATCATTTACAGCCACGAAAAATCCACATGCCTTTACTGACTGCTTATTATAAGCGCAGAATTTGGCTAAGAACTATAAATACAGGGGGAAAAAAACTTGCATGCTTTTGATTCAACTTATGTAGAGAAAATCAATCTCCAATATCCAAAATCAGAAGTGGTGAGGAAAAAGAAAAGTAGGGAGTTGGTAGGAGGGGGAATGGAGGGAATCAAACAGGTGACTATTTCCCACCAGTACTAACACAAGTTTTTTCAGCCAGAATGAACAGAACAAACTTGTTTCTGGGCCAAAGTTCCTTGTTAAACTCTTGTCTAAACAGTCAAGAGGAATAAGCTGAAAATACCTCATTTTTTTTTTCCTGGTCTTACACCAAAAGCTCTTTAGAATACCAGACTGAGCACTGCAAAACCTGGTTCTAGTCCTAGCTCTGACTCTTAACTAGTTTCAGATAAATTATTTGACCTTTAAAAAAAAAAAAAATTCAAAAACAATCAGAGGCCAGAGCTGTGGCACAGCAGGCTGCGCTGCCACCTGTGACACCAGCATCCCATATGGGTGCCAGTTCAAGTCCTGGCTGCTCCACTTCTGATCCAGCTCCCTGCTAATGCACCTGGAAAAGCAGTATGTGGGAGACCAGAATAGAGTTTGAAGCTCCTAGCTTTAGTCTGGCCCAGCCCTGGCTGTTGCAGCCCTTTGGGGAGTGAACCAACAGATAGAAAATTGATCGCATTTGTACTTATGCGCGCGCTCTCTCTGTAACTCTGCCTTTCAAATAAATAAATCTTTTTTTATTTATTTGACAGATATAGTTAGACAGTGAGAGAGACAGAGAGAAAGGTCTTCCTTCTGTTGGTTTACCCCCCAAATGGCTGCCATGGCCGGAGCTACGCCGATCTGAAGCCAGGAGCCAGGTGCTTCCTCCTGGTCCCCTATGCGGGTGCAGGGGCCCAAGCACCTGGGCCATCCTCCACTGCCTTTCTGGGCCACAAGAGAGAGCCAGACTGGAAGAGGAGCAACCGGGACTGGAACCCGGTGCCCATATGGGATGCTGGCACCGCAGGTGGAGTATTGACCAAGTGAGTCACAGTGCCGGCCCAAATAAATACATCTTTAAAAATTTGTAATTAAATAATTTTAAAACCAAACAGAAAACTAATAGGTTGGACTAGTCTGGGAATACCTTGTGATGGCTGCTGTGGTACAGCAGGTTAAGATGCTGCCTGTGATGTCAGCGTCATACATGGCCATTGATTTGAGTCTCAGCTGTTCTACTTCCTATTCAGTTCCCTGCTAACGTGCCTGGGAAGGTAGCGGAAGATGGCTCAAGTGTCTGGGCCCCTGTACCCACATGCCGCCTACAACATTTCCCATCCAGCTCCCTGCTGGTGTGCCCGGGAAGGCAACAGCAGAGTGCTTGGGTCCCAGCACTCATGTAGGAGACCTGAATGAGGCTCCTGGCTGGCCCAGCTCAGGTGATTGTAGACTTTTGGGGAGTGAACCAGCAGATGGAGGATCTCTCTCGCTTTAACTCTGCCTTTCAAATAAAAAAATAAATCTTTAAAAAAAAATACGTGGCACATATAAAGAAGGGTACTACACAGTCTGTGAAAAATAAAATTAAAAGATAATTTTGGTGCAACATATTTTGAATCGATTCATAGCTTTTTCATAAATGCATTTTCCATAAACTTAATGAAGACTCCTTGTAACCCACTAGGTAACCATCAGCTGGAGGCAACACTAGTTAAACATAACACATTTCCAGAGAATCCACGCAACCAGAATCCTTCTAAACACAATTCCTCTGACAGCTACTTCAATTCAAGTTGGCCTATAAACCAAAATTTATTTGCCAAAATCGAGTACATAATATCTCCAACTCTAAAAATTGAGTATTAAATTTCGGTAGACTGTCAAAAAACACCTCCAACAAGCCTGAATCACCTGTGTTGACAGTCAATTTCAGTCAAGTTATCTTCTAAATCGCACCTGACATGGTTCTAATTTCTTATATGCTTGTGAGTAATTCACTCTAATACTAGTAACGTAAATAACCTGGCAATGCTATTCAGACTCACTAATGGGTTCCTTTGAGAGAAAAGCAGCCTGTTACACAGACTTGCTTCCCTGCCAAAATCCTCATCCAAAAATACAGGAACAAACCACACTAGTAAAAAGCTGAATCCAATCCCTTACCCATCCCAGCTGTCTCTCCCGCAACATCAGGCTTTGTCACTTCTCACCTAGACTTCTGCAACAGCCACTCTTCCAACCTTTCTCTGGTATCAGAGCAATCTTTCTAAAACGCAGGCGCTCACCTCTCATCCCTGTGTAAGAATCAGCATGTTTCCAGTGACAACAAAATTCAAAATTTCCAGCATTATATTTAGAACATTTCACATAGCTGCTTCTTTTTACCTTTCATTCTTCATATCTCATAAAGCTCTCCTTCCCTATCCCACTCTCTGCCCGCTCCCAGAACCCTTCTTCCAGCCATCACATAGGGTTGAGATGTTCCCTCTCTCTACCCCTCTTCCTCACCTTTGTCATGTAACTGCTCATCACCTAAGATCCAACACAGGTCTAAGGGCAGGTCTAGATTCCTCCTCTGGCCAACCCCTAGTCAGAACTAACCACTTCCTCGTCTCTCAGTCTCAAAAGTTTCTTGAGCTGTCCTTGGTATGTCCACAATACTGTTTACCTCAGTAGTTCCCAGGCCCATTAGAATCACCTGAGGCATGTTCTGAAAACAAACGGAAGCCAACCCAGATCTATTAAATCAATCTCAGACGGAAGAAGCTGGATGTCTACTTTTAAAAAAAACATTACCCTAATGGTCATATTTGGAGACCGCTGGTTTGCCTTTCTCTTGCAATAGGTGTAAAGATGTGTTTTTTAAAAGACTGTAGAAATTATTTACTTCGGACTACAGTGAAGTTCTGTGCACTCTTTTTTTTTTTTTCATTCTCACATTATCACTGCTGCCTTGACCCGCACGCTGAAGATGAAGTCCTTTTGGACTTATACCCACTGTTCTAAAAAGCAGAATTTCCACTTTCATTTTTAAATCCGAAAAATGAAGTCATTGCACCTTGAGTAAACATGTCAATACACCGTGCAGGCTCTCACCAGATCTGCCATGATAACTTTCAGAGAAGCAGCAAGTCCTTCGCCGATTCTGCCGGTGGAAATAACACTGCCTTTACCTATTTCCTTAAAGTCGAATTATATTAGGAACAGATGCAGGGCGATCCACCTAAGTCCGACCACAGGAGGCTGGCTCCAAAAAAAGGCTCAATAATTTTCAAAGAAAAACCCCACTCTTCCTTCCCCACCCCCCATCCAAAGCAAGTATACTACAGCGGTGTTAGAACGGCAGAAAATGTAACAAGACTAGGATACTAATATAACCACAAAACCCGCTGAGTTGTTCTGGGGGAAAGGAGAATTTCGGATACTTCGCAAGTTCACCTCGTTACTTCTCTGACTAACTTTAGGCCCGACGATGACCTCGGGAGCACAAATCCCGTTTCTCCAAAGTCGCGGCCCGAACGGAGTCTCAAAACTTGAGTTCACCGCTTCAAAGTCTCGTCTTCCTCACGTTTCGGCCCTTAGAACACATTCACAGCTACTTTCTTCTCTGCTAAAGAAAAGGGCACTCTCCGGACCAAGGGCAGTGACAGCTCCACGTCTGCACAAGTCGGCGCCGCGGCGGCGGTGGCGGCGGGCGCCGGGGAGGGCGCCCGGCCCGGGACCACCACGCGGGGGGACAATGGAGGGAGGAGGGGAGTGGAGGAGACCAGAGGAGGCAGCCGCCGGGTTGGGCCCTCCTGGAGACCAAAGGCTCGGCAAAGTCCCGGGAGGGCCAGACCAGAGGCAGGTGGGCCTGGCCGCCGCCCCTCACAGGGCCACGTAGCCCGCGGCCGCCCGGCCCCGCGCGTAGGCCGGGCCTCGGGAGAGTGGCCCCCGGGAGCGGCGGAGGGGCGCGGGGATGGACCCTGCCCACGTCCGCCGCGGCCCATCCCGCTCACAACTTGAGAGCCCACGAGACGAGGGGGTCGGGGCAACTCGGCAGGCGCCGGCCCTGCGGTGTGTCTGGCCGATCCGAGCCCTCGCCCGGCCCCGGCCACTGGCCCGTGCTCCCCGCGCCCCCCACGAACACCGGCTAGGAGGGCAGGAGCAGCCGCAGCCGCTGGGGCGGTCCTGGCTCGGGCGCCGCACTCCTCGACCCCTCGTTCTCTCAGGTCATTCTCACCCAGGCTTCCCCCTCCTCCCAGAACCGCCCCCAGTCAGCCCGCGGGTGTTTACCGGGACTCGGGGCGGCGGCGACTCCTCAGTCCCTCGACTAAGATGGCAGCCGGTCCCGAGCCCCGACCACAGCGACTAAAGCGAGTTAGCGGCCAATGCGCAGGCGCCTCCACTCGGGAGCGGCCCGGACTACAAGGCCCAGCAGGCCTTGCGCGCCAGCCAGCTGCCGGGCCGGGAGAGCTGGGGGCTGGTGAGAGCTGCTGAAGTGGAGTTCTTCCCAGCCCAGGTGAGGACTCCAGCGGCTCCCAGCTCCGCTTTCTTTTTTCTTTTTTGCTCTTAGCACCCCGCCCACCAGAACCTCTGAAGACTGTAGCTGGAGTTGCCAAACTGCAGTGTGCATAGAATCGCCTGAGGGGCTTTTAAAACACTCTGCTGAGCTCCCGCCCCCAGAATTTCAGTAGATTTAGGACAGAGTCTGATCATTTGCATTTCTTTTTTTGTTTTTATTTGAAAGGCAGAGTGACAGCGAGAGGGAGAGACAGAGAGATTCCATCTGCTGGTTTACACCTAACTGGCCGGGCCGAAGCCAGCAGCCTGGAAATCCCTCTGTGTCTCCCACGTGGGTGGCAGAGACCCAAGCACCTGGGTCATCCTCCCCTGCCTCCCGGGATGCTTTGGCAGGAAGCTGGATTGGGAGCGAGCCGGAGGTGGGACTGGATCCCAGGCACTGTTATATGGCATGTCTGTGGGCATCCGAAGTAGGGACTTAACCCACTGCGCTGCAGAGGTGGCCCCCAGCTTAGTCCCTAAAAACAGACACTGAGTGGACTCAAATCCTCCTCCTCCAGCCTTTAACAGGGAGGCTTGGGGATGATAGGCGTGGTGAGGCGCACGCGTGGTTGGTGTTCTCTAGGAGTGAGCACCCAGCTCCCTTCCTGCTCACAACACATCAATGAGAGAAGGACCGTTGTCACCTGGCCTCACAGTCACATACCGGACAAGAACCTGGGCAGTCTGCCTTCCCATTCCTCCTCCCAAGTCCTGCACAGTTGTTTGTGGGAAGTAACAGGCCGTGCAAGTAGTGACTCAGGCACAAGGAAGCGCTCCGTAATTAGTGACCTTTGCTATTATTATTTAGCCTGTTTCCTCCTAATGAAAATACTGTTTTACCATCTGGAAAGTCACACTTTTCAAAGTACTTTCAAAACCACCGTGGTTCCACATTACCCCTTTGGACAGCTTGTTAAAAACAGATTCCAAGGACCTACCCCACTCAGATTCTCTAGAGCAGGGAGTCTTACAGTCAGGACTCAACCACCTGCAGGTGGTTCTGTGTTTAAACCACAGATCCCTGGGGGCCCTGTCTGCTTCTGATTCCATAGGTCTGCGGTAGGGCCTGAGAATTTGCATTTTTAATATAATTTTTGGCAGCTTTTTCTCATAACAAAGTTTTTGGAAAATCTTATTTTTTTTTTCTTTTTGAGAGGCAAAGAGAAAGATGTTCAATCTGCTGGTTCACTCCCCACATGGCTGCCATGGCTGGAGCTGGGCAGATCCAAAGCCAGGAGCCAGGAGCTTCTTCTGGCTCTCCCGCATGGGTGCAGGGGCCCAAGCACTTGGGCCATCTTCCACTGCTTCTGAGGCCATAGGAGAGAGCTGGACCAGAACTGGAGCAGCCAGGACTTGAACCAGTGCCCATATGGGATGCCAGCAACACAGATGAAGGCTTAAAATCTACTATGCCACTGCACCAGCCCCAAGAATTTGCATTTTTAACCAAGATCTCCACATTGGGAGAATCACTGCTCTAGGGCAGTGTTTACCAATATTTTTTTAAAAAGTTCTCTCTCTAAAGAGCATTTTTAGACATATTCCTCCAGTTATCCCATCCATGAAAGTTTTTTTTTTTTTTTTAAGATTTATTCATTTATTTGAAAGACAGAGTTACAGAGAGGCAGAGGAAGAAGTCTCCCATCTGCTGGTTCACTCCCCAAATGGCCGCAATGGCCAGAACTGGGCGGATCTGAAGCCAGGAGCCAGGAGCTTCTTTTGGGTCTCCCACGTGGGTGCAGGGGCCCAAGCACTTAGACCATCTTCTACTGCTTTCCCAGGCCATAGCAGAGAGCAGAATCCAAGGTGGAGCAACTGGGTCTTGAACTGGCGCCCTTATGGGATGCTGGCACTGCAGGCAGTGGCTTTACCCTCTATGCCACAGCGCCAGCCCCATCCATGAAAGTTTAATGGCACAATATAATATGTATCTGTTTATATACTGTGTGTTTATGCTTTGTACACACAAAAAAAGTAAAAGTATTTCTTCACAACACAACTATGTTTGTCCTATTAAGGGTTATGCTGTAGGGGAATCTGGGTTTTTTAACCAGAGCTCCAGGGCATTCTTGTCACTAGAAAAGTTTGGGAAATGTAACAACCCTTTAAGGTATGAAGTATTATCGCGACCATTATACAGAGAAGAAAATTGAGTCTGAAGGAAAGTAAATGACTGGTCAGGAGCACTCAGCCAGGAACCTAGCCAAATACTCTCTCTGGATGCAGATTTAGTCTTGATCTAGAATTTTTTGAAAAGATTTATTTATTTATTTATTTGAAAGTCAAGAGTTACAGAGAGAGAGAGAGGAGACAGACATAGAGAGATCATCCGTCCACTGATTCACTTCCCAAATGGCTGCAGTAGCCAGGGCTGGACCATTCTGAAGCCAAGAGCCAGGAGCTTCCTTAGGGTCTCCCACATGGGTGCAGGTGCCCAAGGACTAGGGCAATCTTCCATGCTTTCCCAGGCCATAAGTAGGGATCTGGATCGGAAGTGCAGCAGCCAGGACTTGAACCGGTGGCCATGAAGGATGCCTGTACTGCAGAGGGCAGCTTAACCCACTGTGCCATGGCACTGGCCCCCATCTATAACTTTAAAACTATATAATATTAGGCAAAACAAATCTATAACATTAGAAGTCAGAATAGTGGTTATCTTTTCAGGGGAGGTGTATCTGGAAAGAGGCACAAAGGTACTTCTCAGGGCAGTGATAATGATCTGTGCCTTGATCTAGGTGCTGGCACACAAGCCATTGTGTGAAAATTCATCCAGCTGTAACCCTAGGATCTGTGTATTTTTCTCTGTACTGTACACTGATAAAAGTTTAAGGGGCTGCTATTGTGGCATAGTGGGTAAAGCTGCTACCTACGATGCTGGCATCCCATATGGGTGCTGGTTCATGTCTCAACTGCTTCACTTCCAATCCAGCTCCCTGAAAATGGCCTGGGAAAAGCAGCAGAAGATGACCCAAGTGCTTGGGCTTCTGCTAACCAAGAGAGACCTGGATGGAGCTCCTGGCTCCTAGCTTCAGCCTGGCCCAGCTCTGGCCGTTGCAGCCATCTGGGGAATGAACCAGCGGATGAAAGACCTCTCTCTATAGATGGATGGATGGATGGATTGATGGATGGATGGATGGATGGATGGATGGATGGAGAGAGAGAGAGAGATAGGGGCTGGCACTGTGGCTCATTCGGTTAATCCTCCGCCTGCGGTGCTGGTATCCCATATGGGTGCCAAGTCCTAGTCCCGGTTGCTCCTCTTCCAGTCCAGCTCTCTGCTGTGGCCCAGGAGGGCAGCAGAGGATGGCCCAAGTCCTTGGGTCCCTGCACATGTATGGGAGACCAGGAAGAGGCTTTGGATCAGCACAGCACCAGCTGTAGCAGCCATTTGGGGAGTGAACCAATGGAAGGAAGACCTTTCTCTAATAAATAAATAAACAAACAAACAAACAAAAAGATAGATAAACTAAGCCTTTAGAATAAATAAATCTTTTTTAAAAATTTATTTTAAAATGTTTGTTTTATGGCCGGCGCTGTGGCTCAATAGGCTAATCCTCTGCCTTGCGGTGCCGGCACACCAAGTTCTAGTCCCGGTCAGGGCGCCAGATTCTGTCCTGGTTGCCCCTCTTCCAGTCCAGCTCTCTGCTGTGGCCTGGGAGGGAAGTGGAGGTTGGCCCAAGTGCTTTGGCCCTACACCTGCATGGGAGACCAGGAGGAAGCACCTGGCTCCTGGCTTTGGATCAGTGCAGTGTGCCGGCCGCAGCGGCCATTGCGGGGTGAACCAACGGCAAAGGAAGACCTTTCTGTCTCTCTCTCTCTCACTGTCCACTCTGCCTGTCAAAAAAAAAAAAAGGTTGTTTTAAATAAAAGATTTATTTCTTTAAAAGGCAGAGTATCAGAGAGAGAGAGAGAGAGAGAGAGAGAGAGAGCGCCATGATCCATCTGCTGGTTCAGTCCCTAGATGGCTGCAATGGCCAAGGGATGGGTCAGGCCAAAGCCAAGAACCAGGAACTCCATCCAGGTCTTTCACACAGGTGCAGGAGCCCAAGCACTTAGGCCATCTTCCACTGCTTTCCCAGGTGCATTAACAGGGAGCTAGACCAGAGGCAGAGTAGCAAGAATATCAGAATGTCACTCTGATATTAGGATATTGGCATTGCAAATGGCAGCTTAACCCTTACCACAACACTGTGCTGTAAATATATACTCATTTTGTTGTAAAAATGCATCTCTTTCTATTACAAATCAAAAATTCTCAAATTTAAGGGTACATAAGAATTGCCTGGAGGGATTCTTCCTTTTCAGAAACTGGTGTTTGTTTGCCATCAACGTCGTTTCTGCTTTGCTTTGGAGACTATGAAGAGCAGCTTGAGACCCCTCAGTGGTTGCTCCTACCTATTCGGTATCACGGACAGTGGGGCTGCAGCCCAGTCTTCAGCAGCCGCCTGAGCACTCTGGTCTTCACAGGGAACCGCTGCATAGGCACAGAGGGCGCCTGGAATCCCTCCGACCAGTCCGCAACCTCAGACAGCAGTAGCCGTGGCGGTAAGTGCAGGAGCGGGCCAGCCATCCGCCCTGCTGTCCCTCCTTGGTCACAGTCCTCTCAGCAGTGGTCTGCTCTTCCTCGCGAGTCTCTTCAGGATCTCTGAAGAAGCAGCGATCAGGCATGACCGCCATCAGTGGTCACAGGTGATACCAGGGGGCTTCCTGCTGCAAGGAACTTGGTGAACTCCTCCTCCTCCTTCATGTGTGGGACATCGAGGGCTAAGACACTGTGACAGCTTCCCTTTAAGTTAGTTACGCTGGGAATCCAGAACACCACCTGGATCCCTCACTGGGTAGCAAGGAAAGGCATGGAGGGTTGTCAAAACCTCAGATCATTAGGTGTCATACCCAGAATTTTAAGCAGTTTTTGATTTATTTGATTTTTTCACATTTTATTTGATAGGTAGAGAGACAGAGATCTTCCATTCCACTCCCAAGCCAGCAACAGCTGCAGCTGGGCCAGGCCAAAGCCAAGAGCCAGGAATTCCATCCAGGTCTCCCACGTAGGTGGCAGGGGCCCAAGTACTTGCACCAACACCTGCTGCCTCCCAAGGTGTGCATTAGCAGGAAGCTGGACTCTGAAGCAGACCCAGAACCCAAACCCATGCACTCTGGTATGGGACGTGAGCATCCCAAGTAGTGTCTTCACTGCTTCACCAAACAGTGAAACAGTCTGCCAAGACCCTCAGAATTTCTGAGCCAGGAAGTTCTGGGAGCAGGCCCAAGAATTAACATTTCTAAGTTCTTAGATGCTGCTCATGACCAGGGTCCCTGCTTTGAAAACCACTGGACTACACTATGCTGCCCTTCTTGCTAATGCCAAAAGAGTAAATGGCTCTAATCTGGGAGGCAGGATAGCAGGAATTAATAATGTAGGCTTCAGAGGCATACCAATGAAAGATCAAGTCCTTATTTTGTCAATAACTTGCTTTGAGGGTCTTAGGCACAGTCATATGAACCTCAAAATCCAAATCTCTAAATGGGAATAACAGATCCTACCTTCTTGGTTTATGTGAAGAGTCCAGGCGGTCCAGGGTAAGTAGGTGGTTCTCCAAGGAGAAGCTGAGTGGGTAGAGCCGGGAATACCGGCCCGGCCATTTCCTCTTTCTCTCATGCTGTGTAGCTCTACTCCCAGGTTCCCGGAGCCAGAACAGCCCAGTCGTGGCTTGGTCAGAGTGCGGAAACAGTGCCTGAAAATGCCTCCCGCCACCTTCACCCTCCTGGACTAGGACATCCAGGTTAGTGCTGGGCAAGACCCTGTGCTGCGAGAGCAGGGGTGTGTGTGTGTGTGTGTGTGTGTGTGTGTGTGCAAGGCTGGAGCAGTCTGCCACCAGCACGGGAAGGAGGTTCCTAGGCCTCTCAGAGGGGGAAGGGAAGGCAGCAGGGGCGGAGCTAGGAGGAGGTGGGGGAGAAACCTGAGCAGCCCACAGACCACCTGTCACCTGTTTTATCCTCCTTTTCCCTGGAACTCCTCTGCTTTCAACTGCTCAAGGCAGAAGAAGTCCTGAGAAGCTGTGTGTAAAGGAGAGAAGATACTGGACCTGGCTTTGGAGAGCCTGAGATCTGAATCCAAAGAGATCACTTAGGACCTGAGGCTGGGGCTCCATTATTTGCCCTCTTTGAAACTATTTCCTCATCTGCAATTTGGGGTACAAATTGGGAGGATTGTCAGAGTTAGAAATAAAAATGTAAGAGGCCCAGTTAGATTTGAATTTCATATACACAATGGATATTTTTTTTAGTATAAACACAGCCAAATATCGTATGTAACATACTAATGCTAAAACTTTCATTATCTAAAATTCAAATTTAATTGGGCAGCCTGTATTTTATTTGGCAACCCTACTTCCAATTAGTAGTGAGGAAGAGTAAACTTAAACGTCTCCAAGATCCAGCTAGTTTATTACAAATAACAGCTAACCTTTACCACACCCACTATCTCACTGAACACTCACAAGGTGGGGTACCCAGTTTTCTCATCTGTGAAGTGGCACTAGTAATATACCCAACCTCATGGGTTGTTGCAAGGGTTAAATGAACTAATGCAAGTAAAACAGCTGGAAAACTGCCAGGCAAACACTCAGTAAGCAATGGCTATAACTTGCCCTATTAGGTAGATGAGTAAACTGAGTATCCTAGAAGCAAAGTAACTAGTCCATAGGCAGCCTTGTGGCAGAAGCTGGATTTGAACTCTGGTCTAAAATGTTGGCAAGGGGTCAGTGCAGGTTAACACCCTGGCCTGAAGTGCCGGCATCCCATATGGGCGCTGGTTCGAGTCCCAGCTGCTCCTCTTCTGATCCAGCTCTCTGCTATGGCCTAGAAAAGCAGTAGAAGATGGCCCAGGTCCTTGGGCCCCTGCACCTGCATGGGAGACCTGGAGGAAGCTTCTGGCTCCTGGCTTCTGATTGGCACAGCTCTGGCCATTGTGGTCAATTGGGAAGTGAACCATCGGATGGAAGATATCTCTCTCTGTATCTCTCTCTCTCTGCCTCTCCTCTCTCTGTGTAACTCCGACTTTCAAATAAATGAATCTAAAAAAAAAAAAAAAGGGGGGCCGGCGCCATGGCTCACTTGGCTAATCCTCCGCCTTCGGCACCGGCATCCCATATGGGCACTGGTTCTAGTCCCAGCTGCTCCTCTTTCAGGCCAGCTCTCTGCTGTGGCCTGGGAAGGCAGTGGAGGATGTCCCAAGTGCTTGGGCCCTGCACCCACATGGGAGACTAGGAGGAAGCACCTGGCTCCTGGCTTCGGATCTCCAAATGGCTTCTGTAGCCGCCATTTGGGGGGTGAACCAACGGAAGGAAGACCTTTCTCTCTGTCTCTCTCTCTCTCTCACTGTCTATAACTCTACCTATCAAATAAAAAAATTATAAAAAAAAAAAGTTGGCAACCCAGTGAAAGTACTGTATTTCATCAGCAGGAGAATAGATGAAATGTAGCTCAGTCATTCACACAATGGAAAACTCCCAAGCAGTAAGAAGAAAAAATTGCTAATACATAAAAAAGTGATACTGTAAAATATGCATTTGGTCTTTGTCCAAGTTTCAGGCATAAAACTCCTAAAATCTTTGGAATTTCCAAAGTACTAAGGGTCATTTTTGTGTGCTAATGAGTTGGCTGTTGGCTGGCAGCCCCTAGGTAGTTTCAGGACAAAGTGGGTGGGGCAGTGCTGTGGGCTGATCATCTGAAGAACCAGGACAGGGCTACAGAGTTGAGATTAGTTCCACTCCCCAACCTCCAGGGAGGAGAGAGGAATGAAGGTTAAGTTGATCACCAGTGGGCAACGATATAATCGATTGTGCCCACATACTGATGCCTCCATAACAACCCCCGAAGGCTGAGTTTGGAAAGCTTCCAGAAAGCTGAACACATGGAGGTGTAGTGGGGGAGGAGGGGTTGATTTTTATTCCAGGCTCTTCTCATGCACAAAGTGAGGCATTCTTGGTACTAACATATATAAGGTAAATTTTTATTTAAAAGGTGAGAAAACACACACACACACACACACACACACACATACACATACATGTGAGCATGCGTTGCTCCGCACACAGAAATACCCATCGTGAGTGGGCAGAGAGCCCAAAAGTAGAAAGTGGTGAGGGAGGGGAAGCGGAAAGAGCCCCCCAGCACCTCCTCCAGGTCATGGTCTCCAGTGGAAGGGGGTCACCTCCAGTGTTGGTCTCTTTTATGAGGTAAGGGTTGGTGCCTCCACAAGCATGAAGTCACCTGGAAGTTTTATGGTACCTCCATAAATCCCACATGCAGGTTAATATCCATATTTCCATGGTGTCTTCCCCCAGATTCTGCATGAAGCAGTGCATCCCAGAAAAAGGGGGCATTTTGATTGACAGAACAGAATTGCACATGTGGCTGGGGGAGCAGGGTTGTTGCTTGCAGATCCCTCCAGCTCAGCAGATCCTAAACTAGCTGCCTGCCTAGCCCATACAGAGGTTGCTAGAAGGGACAGCACCTGGAGAGAGCATGCAAGCCCCTCTTCCCATCCCCATCCTTTGCTTCTCCTCATCGTAATAAACCAGGAAACCAAAGTGCTTCCCTGAGTTATGTGAGTCACTCTAGCAAATTAATCCACCCCAAGGAGAGGGTCATGGGAACCCCTATTATACCCAGATGGTCTGAAATCTCAGCGGCCTGGACTTGGGAATGGCTCTGAAGAGGGGGTAGTGTCTTAGGACGGGGCCCTGCCACAACCAGGGAAATCTGACCCGCCTCCTGGTAGAGATAGCACCAGCGTTGAACTGAAGGTCACCCAGCTGGTGACTGCTGCTGCTGCTGCTGGCTTCCTGGCTTCCTGGTGGTAAGGGCAGGGCGGGAGGAGCCCCACGCATCTGAAATCACAGAAGTATTTTCTGTTGTGAGACCAGAGGAGAGACTGTGTGTGTCATCTCCTATATTCTCAGATAAAATGGAATAGCTGAGTCTTACATGTCATGCTGGAAAAAAAAAAAAAAAAAAACAAAAAAAAAAAAACAAAAAAAAAAAACAAGAGTTCACATCACAGCATTTTATTTGTATGATATGCTAGAACAGGAAATATTTAACTAATGGTAAAAATCGTAATAGTGATTGCTTCAGGAGGGAAGGGATTGATTGGAAAGGAGCACAAGGAATTTTCTGGAGCATTAAAATTGTTCCTTCAATGTCTTACTTGGATTACACGGCTGTGTGCATTTGGCAAAACTCAGCAAGTAGTAAGAGATCCATGCACATCACTATATGTAAATTTAACTTCAAAAAATAAGGAAAAACAACTGCCAAAAGACAAAATTACAACAAATTTAGTTCAAAGATCTTAATTGCCTTTTATTTGCAATTCTAGAATCAGGCAATACATAACAGAATCAGTGCTCTGATGAGCTGAGCAGAGGAGTTTGACGACGTAGAGGGACTGAAAAGGCAGATTGGTTGTTTCAGTTACTTTGCTCCTAAGGATGAAAGCAGAGTGAGCTTTCTTATCATGTCAGCTAAAACTGACTTCTTTGAGGTTTAGCTATTATCTCAATCTCCTGATTTCTCCCAAGGTCAGATAAAGAACTGGGTTCAGGCTTGGTGATGTGGAACTTGAACATGATCAACTCCATTTTGGTTGGGTCGGGACCTAGTGTAGAAGCTCTGTCCAAACCAATGGCCTCCTCTACATTTTATTTAACACCAAAAACGAAAGTTGAGCCCTAGTTAATGATGGGTATCCTGAAATGTGTAGAAGTAGCGACCTACAAAAAAGACGAGTGGCAGATGAATCAGAAAATATGGGGCAAAGCAACAGCCAACAACTGTAGAATCCAGGCAGATGGGTGTGCACTGTGTGGTTCTTGCAACCATTTGATATGCTCGAAATTATCATATGCAGGCAAAATGCAGTCTGTCTTCTGGGCTCAGTTTGCAATGACCTGTTGTAGACAGCTCCATCTCTGACCTGTTCTTGTGAGCCACAAACTGGCATGATTTTTACTTCTAAGAATCCCTTTGGCGATGCCCTTGTCCCACCGTTTCTCCTAATTTGGTTCCTCCTTGCCCTTTACATGCTGTGTGATTGCATCTCTGGGCCTCTTTGGACATCTGGAAATTGAGGTCAAATGTCTTTTATTGTCCAGCTCACGGCAGGGAACTGTAAGATAGCCCCCCTCCCCAAACTTCAATCCCCTCCCGCCCAGGGAAGAGGCTGTCTCTCCCAGTCCTGGATGTCCTCTGTAGTGACATTCCAAGGGCCCTCTGTAAACTGTGAAGGGAAGAGCCAAGGACACACATACTGAGCGCTTGCTGTATGCTCTGAACTACATGTGCTCTTATTTGTCCCCACGACTACCCAGGGACGTCATAGACAGTGCAGTCCATGTTCGGAGAGGAAGAGAGTTCAGAGGAGTTGGGTGCCAAAACTCACAGACGATGCCAGAAACAGCCCCGAGATTTGAACCCAGATCTGTTTCTCTCAGCTGCTTTGCAATGCCTCTTCTGGAATCAACGTAAGGAACAGACCTGGTGCTTCCCTGCGTCCTTCATGTTTCCCGTACTGAATGTAGAAATTAAAAAAAAAAAAAAAAAAAGTATAAAAATCAGTAGCCAGGGCAGGTATTCGGCCTAACAGTTAAAATGCCACTTGGGATGCCCACATCCCATCCTGGAGTGCTTGGGTCTGAGAACCAACTCCACTCTACCTTTCTGCTAATATGCACCTGAGGAGGTTGTGGGAGATGGTTCAAGTACTTAGGTTCCTGCCACTCACAGAAGAGATCTGATTGAGGGCTGAGCTCCTGGCCTGTCCCAGCCTTGGCTGTTGAGAGTGTTTGGGGAGTGAACCAGTGGATGAAATTCTATCTCTTTTCTCTCTTTGTTTCTCTGCCTTTCAAATAACTAAATAAGTAAAATTATTTTTAAGTGTAGACATAAGCAGCTCTCGGCACTCAGAGGGGCAATGGTGGGACTCAGGGACTCCTCAGACAGAGCTGCTTCTAACCCTGCTAATTGTGTTCATCTCCTTCTGCTCTCACCCCGCTCCCGCTTTTACTTGGAGGGCAAAGGCAGATAGAGACACAGACACAGACACAGACACAGACAGATCTTCTATTCACTGGTTCACTGCCCACAGCAGCTGAGCCTAGACTAGGCTGAAGCCAGGAGCCCAGAACTCAATCCACATATGTGGCAGGGACCCAAGTACTTGAGGTCCCAAGTACCTGCTGCCTCCTAGTGTATGCATTAGTGGGATCAAAAGCAGAGCTAGTGGGCCGATGCTGTGCTGTAGCAAGTAGAGTTGCTGCCTGTGGTGCTGGCATCCCATGTGGGCACCAGTTTGACACCCACATGGGTACAGGGGCCCAAGGACTTGGGCCACCTTCTACTGCTATCCCAGGCCATAGCAGAGAGCTGGTTTGGAAGAGGAACAGCTGGGACTCGAACTGGCGCTAATATGAGATGCCAGCACTGCAGGCAGCAGCTTTATCAACTACGTCACAGCGCTGGCCCCTAAAATAAATCTCAAAAAAAATTTCATATTGGGCCGGCGCCACAGCTCACTAGGCTAATCCTCCACCTAGCAGAGCCGGCACCCGGGTTCTAGTCCCAGTCGGGGCGCCCAGTTCTGTCCTGGTTGTTCCTCTTCCAGTTCAGCTCTCTGCTGTGGCCCGGGAAGGCAGTGGAGGATGGCCCAGGTCCTTGGGCCCAACACCCACATGGGAGACCAGGAGGAAGCACCTGGCTCCTGGCTTCGGATCGGCGCATTGCGCTGGCCATAGCGGCCATTTGGGGGGTGAACCAACGGAAGGAAGACCTTTCTCTCTGTCTCTCTCTCTCTCTCACTGTCTAACTCTGCCTGTCAAAAAAAAATTCATATCATTGTTGCAGGAATTAAATGCAATAAAGATATATTTCAAAGAACTTAGAAAGATGCTTACTTAGCACATTAACAAAAAACTAAGTAAAATAAAAAAAAAATGAAAATGAGACAAGCCACAAACTGGGAGAAAATACATGCAAAATATATGATAAGGGACTTGTATCCACAATATGCAAAGAATTCTTTTTTTTTTTTTTTTTTTTTTTTGACAGGCAGAGTGGACAGTGAGAGAGAGAGACAGAGAGAAAGGTCTTCCTTTGCCGTTGGTTCACCCTCCAATGGCCGCCGCTGCAGCCGGCGCACTGCGCTGATCCGAAGCCAGGAGCCAGGTGCTTCTCCTGGTCTCCCATGTGGGTGCAGGGCCCAAGGACTTGGGCCATCCTCCACTGTACTCCCAGGCCATAGCAGAGAGCTGGCCTGGAAGAGGGGCAACTGGGACAGAATCCGGTGCCCCAACCGGGACTAGAACCCGGTGTGCCGGCGCCGCAAGGCAGAGGATTAGCCTATTGAGCCACGGTGCCGCCCGCAAAGAATTCTTAAAACTCCATAAGAAGACAAACAGCCCAGTTAAAAAAATCAGCAAAAATTTGAAAAGACAATTCACCAAAGATATGGGAACAGCTAACAAGCACATGAAAAGCTGCCCAACATCATTAGTCTTTAGTGAATGCAAATTAAAACCACAATGGGATGTCATTTTTCAGTCAAGAAAATGGTTAATAAAAACAAACAAACAAAAAACCTGGCAGGCATTTAGCCTAGCAATTAAGACACCAGTGAGGATATGTGTCCCACAGTGAAGTGCCTAGGTTTGATGTCTGGCTCCAGTTCCTGATTCCAGCTTCTGCTAATGTAGATCCTGGGAAACAACAGGGATGGCTCAGATAATTAAATAATTATTTAATAAAATAATTTAAATTTAATAAAAATAATTCCAGCCATTCATGTGGGAGATATAGATTGAGTTTCCAGATCCCTGCTTTGATTTGGCCCAGACCAAGCCCTTGCAGGCATTTGGGAAGTGAGCCAGTAGACAGGCGCTCTCTGTCTTTACCTCTCTGCCTCTCAAATTTTTAAAAAATATGCATTTATGTATTTTGAAAGTCTGTGAGAAGGAGAGAGAGAGAGAGATCTTCCATCTGTTGGTTCACAGTAATGGCAGTGCTGGGCCAGGTCAAAGCCAGGAGCCAGGAACTCCTTCTGGATCTCCCACATGAGTGGCAGGAGCCCAAGCACTTGGGCCATCTTCCCCTGCTTTTCGCAGGCCATTAGCAGGGAATTGGATTGGAAGTGGAGCAGCTGGGACAAGAACTGGTGTCCACATGGGATGCCAGTGTCACAGGCAGTACAGCAACCAAACCCACTATTCCACATCACTGGCCCCTCAAATAAATTATTTTTAAAGCTTTATTTCTTTATTTGAAAGTCAAAGTTACAGAGAGAGAAAAGAAGAAATAGAGAGAGGTCTTCTGTTCTTCTTCCCAAATGGCTGCAACAGCCAGAGCTGGGCCAGGCCGAAGCCAGGAGCCAGGAGCTTCCTCTAGGTCTCCCGTGTGGGTGCAGGGGCCCGGACATTTGGGCCGTTTTTGGCTGCCTTCCCAGGCAGAGCTGAATCACCACCGGGACTCAAACTTGCACCCACATGGGATGCTAGTGTTGCAGGGGGAGGCTTAATCTGCTATGCCACAACATCAGCCCCCAAATAAAATTTTTTAAAGATGAATTAATTTATTTGAAAGTCAGAATTACACAAAGAGAGAAGGAGAGGCAGAAAGAGAGAGGTCTTCCATCCGTTGGTTCACTCTCTGTTATGAAAAAAGGCACAGAATAGAGAGGAGGCAGTGTATGAATTTATTCAGCGATACCGAATTAATTCAGAGAAAATAAATTTGTAGAGGTGGCTGACCAACTGTCCATGTGCACATTGATGGAACACATGGCAAAAGGCCCCAACCCCCAGGGGTTGAGCCTTTTTATATTTTAGGAGGGCTAGGGATGGGGGTAGGGGTAGGGGGCAGCAGGCAGAGGGGAATTCCTGGATCTGGTCTTTTTTTTTTTTTTTTTTTTTTTTTTGACAGGCAGGCAGGGTTAGACAGTGTGAGAGAGAGAGACAGAGAGAAAGGTCTTCCTTTTCCATTGGTTCACCCCCCAATGGCCTCTATGGCCAGTGTGCTGTGGCCAGTGCGCTGAGCCAATCCGAAGCCAGGAGCCAGGTGCTTCCTCCTGGTCTCCCATGTGGGTACAGAGCCCAAGCACTTGGGCCATCCTCCACTGCACTCCCAGGCCAGAGCAGAGAGCTGGCCTGGAAGAGGGGCAACCGGGACAGAATCCGGCACCCCGACCGGGACTAGAACCCGGGGTGCCGGCACCACAGGCGGAGGATTAGCCAATTGAGCTGCAGCACCAGCCCAGTCTTTTTTTTTTTTTTTTTTTAAGATTTATTTATTTACTTGAAAGTCAGAGTTACACAGCAAGAAAAGGAGAGACAAAGAAAGAGACAGACAGAGAGAGAGAGTGGTCACCCACCAGCTGGTTTACTCCCCAGATGGCCGCCATGGCCAGAGCTGTGATGATACGAAGCCAGGAGCCAGGAGCTTCTTCCAGGTCTCCCACACAGGTGCAGGGGCCCAAGGACCTGGGCCATCTTCTACTGCTTTCCCAGGCCATAGCAGAGAGCTGGTTTGAAGCAGAGAAGCCAGGATACAAACCGGTGCCCATATGGGATGCCAGCACTGCAGGCGGCAGCTTTTACCCGTTATGCCACAGTGCTGGCCCTGGAACTGGTCTTTCAAGTGTTCTAGCAACTAGTCTTTCAGGTGGCTGTGGGGGATGGAATATGAAGGCAATAGAGTGTGAGACCCAATTGAGATTCAAGGGCAAGGAATAAATTCCATTGCTTATCTCTCTTTTGAGCAATAAGCAAGAATGGCTGAGGCTATGTCTTTGTTCCATCACTCCCCAATTGGCTGCAATGGCCAGAGCTGTACCAATCCGGGTGCAGGGGCCCAAAAACTTGGGCCGTCTTATACTGCTTTCCCGGGCCAGAGCAGTAGAGCTAGATTAGAACTGGAGGAGCCAGGACTCGAACCAGAGCCCACATAGAATGCCGGCACTGCAGGAGGCAGTTTTATCTGCTATGCCACAGCACTGGCCCCCCCCCAAATAAATTTAAAAAATCTTTTTTCTTGTCTCTGTCACTCTACCTTTCTAACTAAAACAAACAAAAAACCCAAACTACTCAAAACCGTAAAAGCACTGATAAAAGAAATTGAAGAAGACACAAATTAATGGAAAGTCATCCTCTGTTCACAGATTAGAAAACTAAATATTGCTAAAATGGCCATATTAGCAAAGTGATCTACAAGTTCAATGATCTACAATTCCCAATGACATGCTTCACAGAGATAAAAAGAAAAATTCTAAAATTGTTAGGTAGAAGATAGGCATTAGCCTAGATGTGAGAGAGGGGCCTGAGAACAAGGGAATTTTGTGCAGTTGAATGAGGGAAGAAAGCATGTCTTGGAAGCTGACCAGCATGTGCACAACCTAAGTCTTGCCCGCCTAATAACCGGTTAGGTGAGTCCAGGCGCTCCCTGGGGCATCTTAGGGGAATCTTCCCAGCTCCAACCTGGGGGCTATAGGGTCCAGTAACACTGCTGATAAAGCCCCGGGAGGATTTTAAGAATTCCAAGAGCAGCAACAACCCAGAAGAGGGAGTAGGTAGGAGACACAGGGGACCCATACCCACAAAAACTCAGTGTGCATGCAGATGGGGCTGTCTGTTCTTTGCTGAGAAGACCGCCTGGCCTTTGCATTAGGCTTTGCCAGCATGCTTGCTGCTGATCTCTGTCTCACATCTGAAGTTCTTTCCTTAAGGGAAAACAAGCATTTTTGTTCCAGCCCTCTGGATGGAATCACAAGCAAACCCACATGGCCAAACCAATCTTGAGCAAAAAGAACAAAGCCAGAGGTTTCACACTTCCTGGTTTCAAAATATACTACAAAACTGCAATAATTAAAATACCAAAGTATCAGCATTAAAAGATACATGAGGGCCGGCACTGTGATGGTTCAAGTCCCGGCAGCTCCACTTCCAATCCAGTTCCCTGCTAATGTACCTGGGAAAGCAGCAGAGGTCTGGGCCCCTGCTTTCATGTGGGAGACCTGGAAGAAGCTCCTGGCTTCAGATAGGCCCAGCTCAGGCCGTTGCAGATGGAAGAACTTTCTTTGTCTCACCCCTTTCTGTCTGTAACTCTGCCTTTCAAATAAATAATCTCTAAAAAAAAAAAAAGACACAAGGACCAATGCAACAAGATATAGAGCCCCGAAATATATCTATGCATTTTCAGCCAATTAACTTTTGAAAAAGGTGCCAAAAACACAGCAAGGGGAAAGAACAGTCTCTAATAAATGAAGTTGGGAAAACTGTGTATCTGTGGTCAGAAGAATAAAATTAGATCTTTATCTCAGACCATATTAAAAAAATCAACTTAAAGTGGACTAACGACATAAATGTAATACTCAAAACTATACAAGTACTAGAAGCAAACAGAAAAATTTTTTGATATTGTCCTAGGAAATAATTTTTAAAAAATTTTTTTAAAGATTTATTTTTATTTTTTTTGAAAGGCAGAGTTACAAAGAAAGGTAGAGACGGAGAGAAAGAGGTCTTCTAACTGCTGGTTCACTCTCCATTTAAATGGCTACAACAACCAGGACTGGGCCAGGCTGAAGACAGGACGCAGGAGCTTCTTCCCGGTCTCCCACGTGGGTGCAGAGCACACAGTAAGGACCTGCTCAGTCAGGGTTAGCAATGACAAGGTCATGTGGCAGCTGAGAGAGCTTGTTGTGGAATATAGGTAAGACATTTCCAGAAATTCTGGGGAATTATTAGAGGAGACTTGACTAGGAATGTCAATTGCATTGACAAATTGGATTGAGGAACCACAGAATTGTTAATTTTTTTAAAAAAGATTTATTTATTTGAAAGGCAGAATCACAGAGAGACAGAGGCTGATCCGAAGCCAGGAGCCAGGTACTTCCTCCTGGTCTCCCACGTGGGTGCAGGGGCCCAAGGACTTGGGCCATCTTCCACTGTTTTCCAAGGCCATAGTAGAGAGCTGGATCGGAAGTGGAGCAGCCAGAACTTGAACAGGCAGCATCCATATTGGATGCCAGCGCTGCAGGAGGCGGCTTTACCTGCTAGGCCACGGCACTGGCCCCAACTGTTAATTATTTTAATCAGAATATGTTATGCTGGCACAAATGCTTTAAAGTCTATCCTCTTACTTAATTTTCATAATTTGCAAAGGACAAGGACTGGGAGAGGCAGAAATATTCAGGATTGAATCCAGTGTCACAACTTCTCTGATGGGTGGTTTTGGATGACTGAGTCCTAGTATTCTCTCCTGCAAATGGAGATAATAAGGAGATGTCAATCTCCTGTGATGACAATCAGATGAGAGAGGGCATATGCCCAGTCTGGCATACAGTAGATGCTTAATAAAGGTTATAGAAGCAGATGTTATTTTCATTAGCATTATTGTTTCTCATACAGGCCATGTCAGAAGAAGTCCTATCAGACAGGCCATGCCACGGACAGCAGAATCTGCAGCTGTAGATTTGGCCATTAAGATAGGACAAGTTCTGGAGATGAAGGCATCTGAAGGTGAGGAGAAAATGTCCATTAGAGTGGGCAGAAAGCAGGATTCAGAAAAGATGGGGCAAGTGGCTGGGGCTGACATGAGGAGCTCTACAAGAGACCAGCTCTGTAGAAGGGACACAAGACAAAAGCCACAGCCCCAGAGGCAGCACTCGCTGACTCAATGGGAGAACAGTGGTTTGACCTAGGTTCTGGGGTTGGGCAGAGCTAACCTCAAATCACAGCCTCACCCCGAGGTCACTACGGAAACTTCCTCTGCTCTGTGTTTTCTATTCTGTAAAAGAACTGATTGCCTTGTTTGTCTACTCCTTGTTTGTCTTCCATCCACTGGTTCACTCCTCAATTGGCTGCAATGGCCAGAGCTGCGCCGATCCAAAGCCAGAAGCCAGGAGCTTCTTCCAGGTCTCCCACATGGGTGCAGGGGCCCAAAGACTTGCAGAGAGCTGGATGGGAAGTGGAGCAGCAGGGTCTTCAACCAGTGCCCATATGGGAAGCTGGCGCTTCAGGCCAGGGTGTTAACCCACTGTGCCACAGCGCTGACACCCCTTCTAGGATAATTGGTTCAACATCAGAACCTTCCTCAGTTTCTTCACTCGCCAAGGACTGTGGTTTCCCAGGATGCCAAGTCAAAAACAATAACAACTCTGAACATTCGCCTTCCTTTCCCATCTCTTCCCTCCCATCCTGATCCTACTGAGACGGCGAAGCCACTGGGCCTGATGCCTGGTGCCTCCCTGGATTCCCCGTCCTACCACTCATCAATGCCATCCCACTGTCGGGATGAGTCCAAGAACTTTCCTGCCTTCTCTGCTAGCCACGATGAACACAGCTGGAGAAAACCATACATCTTGGCTTTGTTTCACTTTAGATTCAAGTTCATGAACCCCAGTGGGTCGCAGTCCTACAGAGACAACCTTTCTCATGAATGTCTTCCCACCTCCAGCTGGCACTGTGTCTCAGCGGATTCAGCAGCTGCTCCTGAGGCCGGCATCCCATATCGGGTGCCAGTTTGAGTCTGGGCTGCTCCACTTCCAATCCAGCGTCCTGTTGATGCACCTGGGAAGGTAGCAGATGATGGCCAAAGTACTTGGGCCCTTCACCCATGAGGGAGACCAGGATGTGAAATCAGAGAAGACCCCCCTAAAATTTTACACTAAAATGTGGCTCCTTAAAGTTCCCTAGAAATGCTATCCGGGGTGCCACTACCGGAATTTGGGGTGCCACACAATCTCACCACGGGCTTATTACTAAATCCCCGATATTAATAAGCCCAAGAGGGTTCTTGCCTAATATTTAGAGAAGAATTCTAAATACCAGCACAGATAAATGAGGCAGCATGGTATGTTTTAAGCTTTTATTTAGTGAGAAGGATGCATAGGAGAGTGAGAGCTTTATTTAAGAGAGAGAAGTGAATGGGGGTTCATACCGAGCACCAGGAACCAGCCACGTGGAAGAGCATCTAGGCCAGGAAGCCTAGAGCGCATGGTCTTCGGGGATACAGCAAACCCCTTCCTAGCAAGAGGCCAGGGAAAAAGAGCCACAGTGTGGCCTGGCTTTTAACCCACTTCCAAAGGGGAGTGGTTAATTAACCTGATTGGCTGGTGGGCACCCAGGTATGGCCAGGTAGGGGAATGAGGCTACACAGGGGTGTGGCAAAAGCATCAGGTAGGGGCACGAGGTCACACAGGGGCGTGGCGAAGGCGTGGTCTTCCAGTTCTCAAATCCAATCAATTTTAACCTGTATGCCTGCCTACTTCAGATGGAGTTCAGTGCTCCAGTCTTTGGCTTGGCCCAGCTCTGGCTGTTACAGCTATTTGGGGAGAGGATGGGCCTTTCTTTTTTTAAAAAGATTTATTTATTTACTTTGAAAGTCAGAGTTACATAGAGAGAGGAGAAGCAGAGAGAGAGAGAGAGAGAGAGAGAGAGAGGTCTTCCAACCCCTGGTTCACTCCCCAGTTGACTGCAACAGCTGGAGCTTCGTTGATCTGAAGCCAGGAGCTTCTTCCAGGTCTCCCATGTGGGTGCAGGGGTCCAAGGCCTTGGGCCATCTCCTACTGCTTTCCCAGGCCATAGCAGAGAGCTGGATGGGAAGTGGAGCAGCCAGGACTTGAACCAGCACCCATATGGGATGCCAGCACTGCAGGTGCGGCTTTACCAGCTATGCCACAGCGCTTGCCCCAGGGCCTTTCAAATACATACATAAATAAATCTTTTTTTTTAAAAAAGGACATAGTTTGTTAGGAAAAGAGTTGCAGATTGGTGCCTCCTCACAGGGGCACCAAAATGTTAGGAAAAGAGGCGCAGAATAGAGAGGATGAATTTAGAGCCAGACCGAATTTATTCAGAGAAAAAAAATTCGTAGAGGTGGCTGACCAACTGCCCATGTGCACATTGATGGCTGGGCCTTTTTTTACTTTAGGAGGGCTAGGGATGGGGCTGGAGGTAGGGGGGCTGGAGACAGAGGGGAATTCCTGGAACTGGGCGGGGCCTCGGGAACCTGGAAAAGAATGCAGGGTGGGGAGGAAGGCAACAGAGTGTGAGACACAACTGAGATTCAAGGGTAAGGAATGCATTCCAATGTTTATTTTTTGGGCAAAGAGCAAGAATGGCTGAGGCTTATGTCCTTGTTCCCTCATAGTTCAAGGAATTATTTGGCAAAATACACACCTTTAAGACAAAAGAAACAAAAAAGTCAAGAGAACTCCAGCAACTGCCTATCTGCACTGAAGAACTCTCTCATCCTACCGAAAATCACACCTTCCACGATGCTCTGAGTCTCGGGTTCTCATCCCTGTCACCCTCAGCTGCAGCTCTGCTTTGACCCCACGTTCCCCTCCGCTTACACCCTCTTTTCCCTTTCACAGGCAAACTTCAGGGAAGGGACACAATTCAGTGTCTCCACTTTCCCACTCCCAGTTCACCCTCTAAAGAAACAAAGCATAAGATTCATTTCAGAAAGAGAGAAAGCTCCCAACTGCTGGTTCACTACACACATGCCCACGGCAGCCAGGGCTGGGCTGGGCCAAAGCCAGGAACTGGGAACTCCACCCAGCTTTCCTACATAGGGGCAGGAACTTAACTAGAACCATCACTACTGTCTCCCAGGGTCTGCCTAACAGGAAGCTGGAGTCAGGAGCTGGAGCCAGATATTGAACCCAGGCATTTCAGTGTGGGACACAGGTATCTTAATCCATGTGATATCCCGTAGGCTAAATGCTTCTCTCCCCCAAATTCATTCCAATCTAACTTGTCTCCTCCTTTCCACGGAAACTGCTCTTATCAAAGTCATGCTTCCAAATGCATTGAGTATCCAGGCTAAGAGCCTGTTGTGGAGGCCAACTGCAGGGGACCCAGGTTCTCCACTTGCTGTGTAGCCTTGGGCAAGTTACTTAATTTATCTGAGACTCAATTCCTCAAGTAGAGAATGGGCATAATAATGGTGCCTACTGCACAGGCTTTCTAGGAAGATTAAATGGGTGAATGTGTGTAAAGCACTAAGCACAGTGCCAACGCACTGCAACGTTCTCACTACGTGAGTTTTCTGTAATTAGCGCCGTGCATACCACGTTTGTAAGGCCACCACAAAGCACACCAAACACGGGAGTAAGGAAAGGATTTATTGGGGGAAACCTAACAGACCAGAGGGAAGGGGCAGAGAAGGAAGAAGAGGGAGGAGGAGAGTATAAAAGAGAGAGAGAGAGAGAGAGAGAGAGAGAGAGAGAGAGAAAGGCCGGCGCCGCGGCTCACTAGGCTAATCCTCCACCTTGCGGCGCCGGCACCCCAGGTTCTAGTCCTGGTCCGGGCGCCGGATTCTGTCCAGGTTGCCCCTCTTCCAGGCCAGCTCTCTGCTGTGGCCAGGGAGTGCAGTGGAGGATGGCCCAAGTACTTGGGCCCTGCACCCCATGGGAGACCAGGAAAAGTACCTGGCTCCTGCCATTGGATCAGCGCGGTGCGCCGGCTGCAGCGCTCCAGCCGCGGTGGCCATTGGAGGGTGAACCAACGGCAAAGGAAGACCTTTCTCTCTGTCTCTCTCTCTCACTGTCCACTCTGCCTGTCAAAAAAAAAAAAAAAAAGAGAGAGAGAGAGAGACAGACAGACAGACAGAGGCAGAGAGAAAGAGAGATCAGGAGACGGAGGGAAAAAGAGCTACATGTTCAGGAGCAGGTCCTCTTAAAACTTCGCCAGGGTGGGGGGCGGGCAGCTAAGTAGGAGCAGCAAATCGCATTGGAATGGGGGTGGTTGGGCCATGTGGCCACCTGGCTTCCAGCAAGGGTGGGGCAGCTAGACCCTAGGATGGTGTCTGGGGTATAGATCACACCATAGATAAGACTGCGCCGTTTTACTAACAATGTTTGAGCTCCCAGTAGCAGTCAATACTACTGCAGACCCTCCAGTGATAAAGCTTTCTTCTCCTAGTCCCTGCGAGATATCACATTTTTTATTTCTCTCCTGCCAGCTGTCTGAATGCTGCCAGTTGATGTCTAAATGCTGCTGTCCTCAGGAGCCTGTTCTCTTCTGCCTGTAAGTGATGTTCATTCCAAGGCTTAAAATGAAGAAGGAAGAAGAGAATGACCTTTGAACTCAGCACTGAGTCAGTATATCCCTTCATGGGACATATTCTGAGGACCATAACTTCATTTTTATGGTATTTTTATTGTTACCAGCAATGTTGCTATGGTAATTTTGGAACCACTGTATGGATAATACAGAATTCATGTAAGAGAAGAGAGATTCCCAATATAAAGTCAAAAAGTTAGGAAAGTCCCTATGCATTAGAAATAATAATACAGCCTCATTATATAATTAATGTATATTAGTTGCATATGCATTTATATGTATAATATAGGTGTATATTATACATGTGAGTATGAGATAGATGATATATATGATATCCCCACTAGATTTACCTATTGAAAGGGAGGGTCTGAAAGAAACAACAATCCAATAACAATGAGAACATCTGAAACCCAAATCTTTTTTTTTTTTGACAGGCAGAGTGGACAGTGAGAGAGAGACAGAGAGAAAGGTCTTCCTTTGCCGTTGGTTCACCCTCCAATAGCCGCTGCGGCCAGCACGCCGCGGCAGGTGCATCGCGCTGATCTGAAGCCAGGAGCCAGGTGCTTCTCCTGGTCTCCCATGGGGTGCAGGGCCCAAGCACTTGGGCCATCCTCCACTGCACTCCCTGGCCACAGCAGAGAGTTGGCCTAGAAGAGGGGCAACCAGGACAGAATCCGGCACCCCGACCAGGACTAGAACCCCGTGTGCCGGCGCCGTAAGGTGGAGGATTAGCCTAGTGAGCCATGGCGCTGGCCAGGGTGTGCCTTCTAAAGTGACACCAAAGGAAGTCTCCGGCACAACCTATGGCGCCTTGTGCTTCTTCTCAAAGCATTTATCCTTAATACAATGTGGCTTTTAGGTCTAGTTCCCAAGTTATAGGAAATAAACAAGACAGACAGAACTTAAAGGACACCACAAAGAAACAATAAGATAATGACAGAATGTAAGACTTCCCTGAAGACACTGGCCTTGTTGCTTCAAAATATCAGCGCTACAGAAGAGGAGAGGAGGGAGCTACTGGTCTAGATTGCAGGAGACTAAAGTGACATAAAACCAAAATACAAGGCCAGGTGTTTAGCCCAGTGGTTAAGACATCAGTTTAGATGCCCATGACCTGCACTGGCAGGTACCTGGAGGGAACACTGAGCTCTGTGACTCCAGCCGCCTGTCAGCGGAAACCCTGAGAGGCAGCAGTGATGGCTCAAGGTACTGGGCCCCCTGCCACCCACGTAGGAGATCTGGATTGAGTTCCCAGCTCTTGGCTCAGATCCCAGCTCTATCCTGGCTATTGTGGGTGAGTGAATCAGTAGCTAGGAGTGCACTTGCACTCTCTTCTCTCTCTCTCAAATGCAACTTAAAAAAATATGAACCTTCAGTGGATACTGATTTAAAAAACGAAACAAAACAAATAAACAAACAAAAACAGGGCCAGTGCCATGGCTCACTAGGTTAATCCTCCGCCTGAGGCACCAGCAGCCCTTATGGGCGCCAGGTTCTAGTCCCAGCTGCTCCTTTTCCAGTCCAGCTCTCTGCTGCGGCCTGGGAAGGCAGTGGAGGATGGCCCAAGTCCTTGGGCCCCTGCACCTACATGGGAGACCAGGAAGAAGCACCTGGCTCCTGGCATTGGATTGGTGTAGTTCCGGCCGTAGCGGCCATTTAGGGGATGAACCAAAGGAAGGAAGACCTTTCTCTCTGTCTCTCTCTGTCTAACTCTATCTATCAAAAAAAAAAAAAAAAAGCTATAGGGGCATACCAGGTTAAGCCATTGCCTATGACACCAGCATCCCACATGAGTGCCAGTTGGAGACCCAGCCTCCACTTCCAGACTAACTCCCTGTTGATGGCACCTGGGAAAGTAGTAGAAGATGACCCAAGTCCTTGGGCCCCTGCCACTCACGTGTGAGACCCGGATGAAGCTCTGGGCTCCTGGCTTCTGCCTGGTACAGCCCTGGCCGTAGCAGTCATTTAGGGAGTGAACCAGTGGTCAGAAGAGCTCTCTCTCTGTCTCCCCCTCTCTCTCTGTAATGCTGTCATTCGAATAAATTAAAAATAACTCTTTTTTAAAAAAACAGCTATAAAAGACACAATTAAGAACATTTGAACGTAGACTGGAAATCAGACACTAGAGAATTATTATTTATTTTCTTTTAAAGTAATTTTTAAAGTGGATTGTTCTTTTTCTAGATTTATTTATTTGAAAGGCAGAGAGACAGAGTGAAGACACACACACATACTGTTAGGGAAAGAGTATAGATTGGTGTCTCCTCACACAGGGTGCCAAAATGTAAGAAAAAGGGTGCAGATCAGAGAGGAGACAGAATACGAACTCGCTGCCAGATTGAATTTATTCAGAGAAAATAATTCAGAAAATTATTATAATTATTATAATTCAGAAAAAAATTCAGAGCTCGACCAACTGCCAACAAGAACCTAAAACGGCTGACCTGTGTCCTTGTTCCATCACACACATACAGCTATCTTTCATGTGTTGGTTCACTCCCCAGGTGGTTTCAACAGCCAGGGCTGGGCTGGGCTGAACCATCCTGGTTCTCATGTGGGTGGCAGGGGTACAAGCACTTGGGCCATCATCAGCTGCCTCCCAGGATGTGACACATTTGTAGGAAGCTGGATTGGAGCCAAGACTCAAACCCAGGCAATCTGATAAGGTATGTCGGCATCCATCCCAAGTCAAGCCTTAGCACTCCCTACCAGTTTTATCTTTTTTTTTTTTCTTTAAGATTTTTATATATTTATTTGAGTAGAGTTACAGACAGGGAGAGACAGAAAGGTCTTCCATCTGCTGGTTCACTCCCCAAATGGCCGCAACAGTCAGAACTGAGCCAAACCGAAGCCAAGATCCAGGAGCTTCTTCCAGATCTCCCTCTTGGGTGCAGGGGCCCAAACACTCGGGACACCTTCTGCTGCTTTCCCAGGCCATAGCAGAGAGCTGGATTGGAAGAGGAGCAGCTAGGACTGGAACTGGCGCCCACATGGGATGCTGACACCACAGGTGGAGGCTTACCTTCCACGTCACAATGCTGGCCCTGTGTTTTATCTTTTAATTCCATTTTTCTACCAACTTTTGAAGCTTCCCTCAAATATGCTGAAATAACACAAATTGTGCCATGAATACATGTAATTTTTGTATGTCCATTAAAATTTATTGTTTCTCCCTCATATTATTATTTTAAATTTTTACTTATGTATTTTCATTTTAACTGAAAGGCAAAGCCAAGGCTGCACCAGCCCAAAGCCAGGAGTCCCCAACATGGGCTGGCAGAGCCCCAGGCACTGGGTCATCTGCTGCTGCTTTCCTAGGGGCAGTATCAGGGAGCTGGATTGGAAGCAGGACGTGAACTGGTGCTTCTACAGGATGTCAGCTTTGCAGGCAGCAGCTTAACCTGCTGTGCTACAATGCTAGCCTCAGTATTAAAATTTTTCATCAAATGGGGAGGTTTTCAGTCATTGTTTCATATTATTTTTCTGTGCCAACTTCTTCTCCTTAGACTCCAATTACACTTGAAGTTATTTTATACCTCACTGATACTGTTTATTATTTTTAAATTCCCTTCTGTGTTTCATTTCAGATAGTTTCCATTGCTGTATCTTCAAATTCACTAAACTTTTCTTCTACATTGTGCACTCTGTTGTTAATATCATCTAGTATATTTTTTCATCTCACTCGAGTTTGACTTTTTTATACTGTCCATGTGTATACTTAACTTTCCAGACACATGTATATGATGTTATGATCATTGTCCTGATCTGCTAATTCTAATGACACCTATATCTTTTATCATTATTATTATTTTTTTATTTATTTGACAGGTAGAGTTATAGACGGTGAGAGAGAGAAACAGAAAGAAAGGTCTTCCTTCTGTTGGTTCACTCCCCAAATGGCCGCTACAGCCGGAGCTGCGCTGATCCAAAGCCAGGAGCCAGGAGCTTCTTCCTGGTCTCCTATGCGGGTGCAGGGGCCCAAGGACTTGGGCCATCTTCTACTGCTTTCCCAGGCCACAGCAGAGAGCTGGATCAGAAGAGGAGCAGCCGGGACTAAAACCGGCGCCCATATGGGATGCTGGCACCACAGGTGGAGGATTAACCAAGGGAGCCACAGCGCTGGCCCCCAACACCTATATCTATATTAGGCTGGTTTCTTTTCTTTTCTTTTTTTTTTTTTTTTAAGATTTACTTCTTTATTTTTTTTTAACTTTTATTTAATGAATATAGATTTCCAAAGTACAGCTTATGGACTACATTGGCTTCCCCCCACCCCCCAGTGACTTCTCTCCCACCCTATATTAGGCTGGTTTCAACTAATTTCTCTTCATTATTTCATGCTTTGTATCACTGGATGCCAAACACTGAATTTTATCTGTTGGGTGATATGTATTTTTATAATTCTGTAAGGATTCTTGAGTTTTGTACAGGGTTATAGCTAAATTTTTAGAATCAAGACCCTATGGTCGGGCCGGCGCTGTGGCTCACTAGGCTAATCCTCCGCCTTGTGGTGCCAGCACACTGGGTTCTAGTCCCGGTTGGGGCGCCGGATTCTGTCCCGGTTGCCCCTCTTCCAGGCCAGCTCTCGGCTGTGGCCAGGGAGTGCAGTGGAGGATGGCCCAGGTGCTTGGGCCCTGCACCCCATGGGAGACCAGGAAAAGCACCTGGCTCCTGGCTTCGGATCAGTGCGATGCGCGGCTGCAGCGCGCCAGCCACGGTGGCCATTGGAGGGTGAACCAACGGCAAAGGAAGACCTTTCTCTCTGTCTCTCTCTCTCACTGTCCACTCTGCCTGTCAAAACAAACAAACAAAAAAAAAAAAACAAAAAAAAAAACAAAAAAACAAAAAACCCCTATGGTCTTGCTTTTCACATTAAAGGGGATCAAAGAAGCACTTAGGAAAGCTAATTTCTCTCCAATCCTGGAGCACTGCCCTTGGGTGCAGTCTACCAATGCCCTGTGCACCATGAGGCTCTATCCCCTGCCCACGTGAGCCTGGAATGCCGTGCACTCGCCTGCCTGGTGGGAAAGGCACTATCCCCTGCCCATGGAAGTGCAGAACCCTACTAACCTCTCACTCCGTGGGTGCGTCTGTCCTCATCTTCTGGATTGTTGCTTCACCTGCTTGTGTCAATGAGGATGAGGCTGCATCCTTGTGCAGAGTTCCATGCATTTTTCCTCTCTCCAGTGCTCTGTCCTGGCTTCCTCATTCTCCCCCACACACTGTCAGCTCCTTCTCCCCAACTCAGAGCCTCTTCTGGGCTCCACCTGGGTTTCTGCACTCAGCATTGTGGGCTGAAATCTCTCTATATTGCAGTTTGGGGCAATCACAGGTCTCATTTCACTGATTTCATCGGCTTCATTCCTGTCTTTCATTGCCTGATATTCCACTTTGAAAACAATTGTTTCATTTTGTTTTCTGTTTTTTTTTTTTTTTTTTTTTTTTTTTAAGTATTTATTTATTTGGAAGTCAGAGTTATAGAGAAGGAAAGGCAGAGGGGAGAGAGAATCTTTCATCTGCTGGTTCATTCCCCAAATGACCCCAACAGCCAGGGCTGGGCCAGGCTGAAGCCAGGAGCCAGGAGCCAGGAGCTTCTTCCAGGTCTCCCAGGTGGGTGCAAGGGCCCAAGGACTTGGGCCAGCTTCTGCTGCTATCTCAGGTGCATTAGCAGGGAGCTGGATCAGAAAGTGGAGCAGCTGGGACAGGAACCAGTACCCATATGGGATGCTGGCGTCGCAGGCAGAGGCTTAACCTGCTAAGCCATAACGTCAGCCCCTTGTTTTCTGTTTTTGTTATTTCAGATGGAACAGTAAGTTCAGTCACTTTAACTTCAGAGCGGTGAAGCGAGAAGCTTTTAAAAAGCTCAACGGTTAAGCCATATCCTAGATGATTAAACCCAGATCTTTGGAGATAGGGCATCAACATTAACCCCTCAGCTGATTCTAAATGTGCATCCACATTTAAGGATCAGTATCCTATAATGTGATTTTATTATTTTTGCTGATTTAAAAATATTTTAACTTGGGTTTGGTTATAGGAAGAGGGCACTGGGGCACATTTACAAGTTACTTCTAAGCCCCTGATTAAAAAAGATTAAATCTCTTTAAAGTCCCATGATTAAAAAAAAAAAATTGGGGGCTGGGAAGGCCAGTGCTGTGGCATAGCTGGTAAAGCCGCTGCCTATGAGGCCACATCCATATGGATGGAACAGTTCATGTTCCAGCCGCTCCACTTCCGAGCCATCTCCCTGCAATGGCCTGGGGAAAGCAGCAGAAGATGGCCCAAGTATGGGTCCCTGCACCCACGTGGGAGACCTGGATGAAACTCCTGGCTCCTGGCTTCAGCCTGGCCCAGCCCTGGCCTTTGCAGCCACTTGGGGAAAAAACCAGCAGATGGCGGCCGGTGCTGTGGTGTAGCCGGTAAAATAGCTACCTGCAGGACCGGCATCCCATATGGATGCTAGTTTGAGTCCTGGCTGCTCCACTTCTGATCAGCTGTCTGCTATGGCCTGGGAAAGCAATAGAAGATGGCCCAAGTCCTTGGGCCCCTGCACCTGAGTGGGAGACCAAAAAAGAAGCTCCTGGCTCTGGATCAGTGCAGCTCTGGCCATTGCAGCCATTTGGGGAGTGAACCAGCAGATATAAGACATCTCTCTCTCTCTCTCTCTGTCTCTGCCTTTCAAATAAATAAATAAATCTTAAAAAGAGAGAGAGAGAGAGAGAGAAGAACAGGCAGATGAAGATCTCTCCCTCTTTCTGTAACTCTTTCAAATAAATACATCTTTTTTAATAGAAAAACATTATAAAAACAAAAGAAAACAAAGTTAGTCTCAAGCCTAGAGCAGGGCAGAGCCTGTGTGTGAGATTAAGTGGCTCCAGCTGCAGGGAGCCGGGACGCACCTGATAGTCTGGGAGCGTTTATGGTTTATTATTTCCATTCAACAAAGCTTTCATAACTCACTGTCTTGCTTCATTCTCTTCTCCCAGTGACCATGAGGCACAATTTACCATCTCTAATTGGCAGATGAGGAAATGGAGCTCAAGAAGTTGAGTGACTTGACAAATAGCAAATTGGTAGCAGAGTTAAACTTTAAACCTGGTTCTCAGAGAGAGATTAAGGAGCGAAGCAATTCTTCCCTGGTAGCTCCCAGGGGTCAGGGGACACCCCTGGGAAGTGCTGAGATGGCGCAAACTCTGCTGAGCAGGACTCCTGGCAGAGAGCAAGGAATCGCTTGCTAAGCCCAGGGCTAGGGCTGGCAGACAACGAAGGGAGTGCTGGAGGGAAGGCAGATGGTCTCCTTGCTGCCTTCTAAGGAGAGGGGACAGAGGCTCCCTACAGGACTCTGTCTTGGGAGGGGGCATGAAAATGGAGAGTCAGAGCAGAATTGCCAGGAAAATTAAGACTAAGTTTTGCTTTTCATCTTGCCCTCTAGCCCTTCCTTACACAGTGCTCAACTTCCGCTCTTGGTTCCTGAAGCCTGTATAAGAGACACGGGCCGGTGCCGCAGCTCACTAGGCTAATCCTCCGACTTGCGGCGCCGGCACACCGGGTTCTAGTCCCGGTCGGGGCGCTGGATTCTGTCCCGGTTGCCCCTCTTCCAGGCCAGCTCTCTGTTGTGGCCCGGAAAGGCAGTGGAGGATGGCCCAAGTGCTTGGGCCCTGCACCCCATGGGAGACCAGGAGAAGCACCTGGCTCCTGCCTTCAGATCAGCGTGGTGCGCCAGCTGTGGCGGCCATTGGAGGGTGAACCAATGGCAAAGGAAGACCTTTCTCTCTGTCTCTCTCACTATCCACTTTGCCTATCAAAAAAAAAAAAAAAAAAAAAAAAAAAAAGGAGGACACGATTGGCTCCGTCACCTGAATGTCTGCTGTGAGCCGGGCCCTTTGCATGCATCATTTTATCAAATCCTTACTGTGATTCCATGGAGCAGTGGCTATCACCATGCTCATTTTAAAGATCATGAAAGGAAGGCAAAGAGTGACTGTATTCGTGGTCTGCTGCTGCCATGGAAATTACCCCAAGGTGGGAGAGGTGACAGAGAAGGTTCCCTAAAGAGAAACAAAAACACAACCGCGTAAGGACAAACACTGTGGTGCATCTTGCATCAAGTCCCAGCTGCTCCTCTCCTGATCCAGCTCCCTGCTAATGCGACTGGGAAAGCAGCGGAGGACGGCACAATACTTGAGACCCTGCCCGTTGCACTGGGAGACCTGGATGAAGCTCTGGGCTCCTGGCGTCGGTGCGGCCCAGTTCCAGCCATTGCAGTTGGGGAGTGAACCAGCAGATGGAAGACTTTCTCTCTCTCTTTCTCTCTCTGTAACTCTGCCTCTCAAATAAATAGAAAATAAACCTTAAACAAAAAGTGTAGAAAGATTAAGTTCTAATGTTCTACTGCACACAGGGTGACTATAGGTAATAAGGTTTTATATATTTCAAAAGAGCTAGAAGAGAGGATTTTGAATGTTCCCAAAAGAAAGAAATGGCAACCATCCGAAGCAATGGGATTCTAATTACCCTGACTGCTAATTACTCTGATATTTAAGCTTCAAAAGACTCATGGAAAATATCATTATCCTTTTGAAAAATCATTCATTTCTTGCAATTTATTTGAAATGCAGAAAATCATCCATCTGTTGGTTTGCTCCCCAAATGCCTGCAATAGTTGGGGCTGGGCCATGTCAAAGCCGGAAGCCAGGAACACAACCTAAGTCTTTTACGTGGGTGGCAGGAACCCAAGTACTTGAGCCATCACCTACGGCCTCCCAGGGTGCACGTCAGCAAGAAGCAGCAGGGTAGCCAGGACTGGACCCCAGGTACTCCAATATGGGATGAGCTCATCCCAAGAGGCATCTTGTTTTTCCCTTTTTTTAAAGATTTATTTTATTTATTTGAAAGACAGTGTTACAGAGAGAGGTAGAGACAGAGAGAGAGAGGTCCTCCATCTGCTGGTTCACTCCCCAGATGGCTGCAACGGCCGGAACTGCGCCGATCCGAAGCCAGGAGCCAGGAGCTTCTTCCAGGCCTCCCACGTGGGTGCAGGGGCCCAAAGACTTGGGCCATCTTCCACTGCTTTCCCAGGCCACAGCAGAGAGCTGGATGGGAAGAGGAGCAGCCAGGACTCGAACTGGCACCCATATCGGATGCCGGCACTTCAGGCCAGGGCTTTAACCCGCTGCACCACAGCATGGGCCCCCCAAGAGGCATCTTAACAACTGCACAGAATGTCCCTCAATTACATTTTTAAGTAAATCACCCCAAAACATAACAGCTAAGACAACAACAAACATTTGTTATCTCACATATTGTCTGCAGGCCAGATATTCAGGAGCAGATTAATTGGGTGATTCCCACCTGAGACCCCTCAGGAGGGTCCAGCCAAGATGCACCCGGGCGGCAATCAGCTTCCAGTTTGACTGGGGCCCCAGCATCCAACTCCAAGGTGGCCCATGCACATGGCTAACAAATCAGTTGACAAGGATCTCAGTTACCGCCATGTGGATCTTTCCACTGGGCTGTCTGAGTGCCCCCAAACCCTGGCAGCTGTGAGAGATCCAAGAGAGCAGCCAGGTCTGGGCCAGACGGCAGCTAAGGGCCAGGAACTCATCCCGGATCTCTCTCGTGGGCGGCAGAGACCTAAGTACTTGGGTCATCTTTTGTTGCCTTCCCAGGCACATGAGCAGGAAGCGGAGCAGCTGGGACTCCAAGTGACCCTCCCATATGTGATGCTGACACGGGATAAGGCAGCCAGCTAAGCAGGAGGCCACAAACCACCAGGCCCTGTCCCATGTAATTCTACCCCACTTGCCTATCAGAACACTCCCTTCCCGCTCCCCCCATGACTTATTTCCACCTGGGACCTGGGGAATATGTAATTGTAAATTAAATATGTATATGAAGCATCATTCCATTCCACTAAGTGCAATTTTATGGAGGTGTCATAAAATTCTCAGGTGACCACATTGCCTCATAAAAGGAGGTGCTGGTCTTTCCTCAGAGACCAGGAGGTGCTGGGCTGCTCTCTCGCCACCTACTTCCCCTCCCCCACTCCTTTCTCTGGCCCATTCCATTCCTCAACTACATGGGTTGGTTTTCTCACCTTTTAAATAAACCTTGTTACTCTCTGCATCCTATACGTACCTGTACTTAGAATGTTTCTCTAAGTAGAAGGCGAGGACCTGGAATAAAAAATTAGACTCCATATCTCACACTTCAATGCCAGTGCTGCAAGTGGCAGTTTAGCCTGCTGAGCCACAAGGCCAGCCCCTAAATGAGAACTGTCTTTTTTTTTTTTTTTTGTCATTTATTTTATTTATTTGAAAGGTAGAGAGAGAGAGAGAGAGAAAGAGCGAAATCTCCCATTCATTGGTTCATTCCCCAAATGCCTGCAACAACCAAATCTGGGCCAGGCCGAAGCCAGGAGACCAGCTCACCTGCTGCCTCCCAGGGCGCTCACTACCAGGAAGCTGGAATGGAGAGTGGGGGCAGCACTCAAAGCCGGGCACTCTGAGATAGGAGGTGGTTGCTTCAAGAGGTGTCTTATCCACTACGTCAAACTCCCGTCCCTGCCTTATCTTTTCTGACCTCGCCACTCAAGTCAGACTGTGATTCCTGCACTATCCTGATGGCTGCAAAGGTGTCCTTTATACACGGAGGGAGGGTACTGACTGCACACAAGGGTATGGCTACCAGGACCTTGGAGGTCACTGCTAAGGTGACAAAACTAATTACCCAAGGTCACACAGGCTGGGAAGTGTTATAGGTGAGTTTTGTCGCCGTATGTACTGGCTTGAAGGAATGGAGGCAGCCAAGTGCCCGCAGGTCTTCCCTGGCCCAGACAGAGGTCTCCGTACCAGGAATCCTGTGCTTCTCATTCCAGTGATCAGGTGTGCCAGATGCTATCTGATGTGTCAGACAGAAATTCTTGTCATTGTCATCTGGGCGTGTTTACCAAAGACTGCGTGAGTCACCACTAGATGGTGGGCGCGAAGCCACCCTGGATGCCGGCTCCAGCTTTGCCACAGACTGCGGGGCCTTGTGAGTGTATTAAAGTGCCTGCAGGGACCTTTGTTTTCCCATCTATCAATGGGGTGGTTGAGTTCCAAGGACCCCAGGGTCCTCTGTGGGCCGAGTAGCTGAGGGGTCCCCTCTCCACTTTCCCTGGCTCTCAGACTCTGAAGTGGAGTGGATCCCTCACGTGCAAGGTGTACCCTTCTGGGCCCAGCCAGATCCAGCCTTGCCTCACCCATAGCTGGCTGGCACCATTGTTCCCCCACAAAGCTGGGCCCTTTTCCAGCTGCTGCTGCCCGCGGGGCAGGGGCGAGGCTCAAAGGACCCAGTTGTGTGGCCTCCTCCCCTCCCCCAGGGCAGGCCAGGGTCACCCACAGTCTGACTCAGCCCAGGCAGGGAAACAAAGGAGATGACATATGGTTTAGGGAAAGAATTTGACATTTACTATTTCCCCCCATAAATCTTCAAAATAACCATGGAGAAAATCCTCTTATACTTATTTTACAGTTCAGTGCATTTTTAAAAAATGGAGGCGATGACATTGTTTGTGATTTCAGTGTTTAGGGACCCATATTTTAATGATTCTATAATGCACATTTAAAATATCTTTGAAATTAGGATGCATGTAGCACTTGATGACAAGTCATAATGTAATTGTAATATTTTTTAAATTACTTAATATTACATAAAATAATGGTGCACATTACAATGACGGGTCTTATATTTGATGAAATATGGTAATTAGGCCCTGTTCTTGGAGCCTAGGCCTACTGGAACACCCACACACCCACACACACACACACACACACACACGCACACACACACCCTTTCTTACCCTGGAATCATTGCCTTAACCCTGTGTCTCCAATAGTATCCTTCCAACTTTCAATTTTTTAAAACATTTTTAAAAATCTACTCGCATTTTATTTGAAAGGCAGAGAGACAAACAGAGAGATTTTCCATCTGTTGACTTCCTCCTCAAATGCTCACAACAACTAGAGCTGAGCCAGGCTGCAGCCAGGAATCTGGAGCTCAATCCAAGTCTCCTACATGCGTGACAGGGACTCTCGAACTTGAGTCGTCACCTGCTGCCCCCTAGGGTACACAGTAGCAGGGAGTTAGAATTGGAAGCGAAGCCAGGACTCAGACCTCAGCACTCTGGTAGGGATGCAGGCATCCCAGGCAGTCTTAACTGCTATGCCAAATGCCTGCTCCAGTTAAATTTCTTTTTAGAGATACTGCAAAACTCTCCAGGGGCCGGTACCGTGGCACAGTGGGTTAAGCCGTTGCTTGCAACACTGGCATCCTATATCAGAGTGCCAGCTGGGATCCCAGCTGTTCCACTTCTGATCCATGTGGGGTGCAGCTGGAGTTACTGGCTCTTCGCTTCAGCCTGGCTAAGCCTGGGCTGTTGAGGCCATTTGGAGAGTGAACCAGCAGATGGAAGACCTCTCTCTCTCTGGGGCTGGTGTTGTAGCACAGTGGGTTAAGCAATCACTTGTAGCATTGGCATCTCAATAGAAGGAAGATCTCTGTCTCTCTGCCTTTCAAGTAAATCTTTTATATATTAAAAAAAAAAAAACCTTCATTTCTCAAAAAAAACTCTTTCTCTGTTGCTCTGCCTTTTGAATAAAGATAATAAAATAAATATTTATTTATTTGAAAGGCGGGGGGGAGGGAGAGAGAGCAAGAGAGAGCATTTCCATTCATTATTTTACTCTCCAAATGGCTGCGATGGCTGGGGTTGGGTCAGGCTGAAGCCAGGAGCCAGGAGCTTCTTCCAGCTCTCCCACATGGGTGCAGGGGCCCATGGATTTGAGTCATCTTTCGTTGCTTTCCCAGGTGCATTAGCAGGGAGCTAGATCAGAAGTGGAGCAGCCGGTATTGAGCCAGCATCCATAAGAGATGCTGGAAGTGCAGGTGGAGGCTTAACCTTCTATGCCACAGCGCTGACCTCAATAAACAAATCTTTAAAAAATTTCTCTCTATAAAGGCCTTTGTAATTCATACACCTAAGCGATTGGAGGTCCTAGGATCTCCC